CTAATGGTTCTAAAATAAATCTTTATGAGTTTCCAAAAGACATTTATTCAAAATTATTATAAAGAAGTATTCTAGGGTGTTTTGCATCATTCTTATTTTACACTGGCCTTAGATTGGTGAGCATTGCTGAAGCATATGTACTTTTGTCAACATAATCATTTTGGGTATCATTAATAGCTATTTATTATCTAAAAACTGAAACTTTTACTTGGAACTTATTTGCAAATTTGATAATTTGCTTTTTAGGAATAATATTGATAATATAACCTCCTTTTTTACAATGAATTCTTGGTTAGAGCATGAACATAATTGAAAAGTCTGAAGCTAAATTGTTCGGATGTATGATTTTAGTATTTGCTGCATTTTCCTTATCCTTAGTTTAGATTTTAATTAAAAATTTATCAAATTAAGTAACCATTCTTATTTCAAACCTTTAGATTAATCAAATAGTAATAATATAATGTTATGGAGTTGCATGTTCATTATTTATAACATGATCAGGAAAGACTGATACAGTTTTTGGTAATGAGAGAGATTAAGGGCTTGCATTCCAATGTTTAAATTATTTAGTTGAAAAAACAAAGTAAATTTAAGAAATTAAAATTTTTATTACTTATTAAAATGCATTAGTAGAAGTGAGTATTATTGTGATATATAATGAGACAATAAGAGATCTATTAAATACTAATTAAAAATCATTAGTAATTATGTATAATAGTTAAAAAGGATAATATATATCAGGAGTTTAGCATATGGTTTATAGGAATGGTGAGGAAGTGAGAGATGTTTTAAACCTTGGAAATTAAAATAGAAGTTTGGCTTAAACTATTTATAATGTATCATCTTCTAGATCTCATGCTGTGATTTAGATGAACTTATCATATAAGATTGAAAAGTAATTTATATATCATAATCTTTAGTTAAATTCTAACATACAGAAATTCAAAATTAACAAGACTTTTATAGGATTCTTTGGGAGGAATTACCAAAACTATCATGATTGCTTGTGTATAATAGAATAAGTAATCATATGATGAAATATTAAATACATTAACATATTCTTAAAGAGCTACATAAATTAAAAGATAAATTTAAAAAGAGATTACATTAATCTAATAGAATCCAAAATCATAAGATATCTTTTTCTTTAGTCATTAATTACTATATTAGAGTTTTCATAATGAAATATTTCTTTTCAGGCATTTTTATAAATACTATGAAATTAGATCAATTATACTTTTTAAATACCTTAAAGGATAAAATCATTCTTCTAAATTCTAAATAAAGTAAAACAATTAAATTTAATTAATTGTTACTAATATCTAATTTATTATATAACTTGGGTATCTTTAATTTAGTATAATCATATGAAATTTGAACAGCATCAACACCTTGATTGAATTATATAACAAATTAAGAACAACTTGTACATAATTCCTCTTATACTTCCAATTACTTACAAATTATTTCACATGCATAAAATGATGTAAATTTAAGTTCGAAATTTCAATATTTTATTATTATGGCCATTTTATAATAAAATCAAACCAAATTTTACATTGAAATTGCAGACACTTTTTCATTTTAAATTTCAGTTAGTTAAATTAATTCATTAATGTTATTAAGATTTTGATCCATAATTTATTGTAATTTATCTAAAATTATATTATATGATTTATTTATAACTATCTACTTTATTTAAGAACCCACAGAAATTTTGTAAGTTCTTTAACAACTTAATAGAATACCGCTATATTCCCTTTGGTTTATGTTAAAATCGCTTAAGCTTAATCAGAT